AGCCGCACGGCGCCCGCCTCAGCCGCACGGCGCCCGCCTCAGCCGCACGGCGCCTCGCGGTGCTTCCAGCCCCTCTGCCATCTCCTGCGACTGCTCTGTGTGACAGCAAGCAGTGCTCAGGGCCAGGCTTCAGCACTACTCTGTAGGAGATTATGGAAGAACATACGTTATCTTGCTCTCGCTTCCATGTAGTAAGAGGAAATGAACCAGCAACTCACTGCTAGACTCTATGGCAGCTCGCAGAAAGGTAACTAAACCTCAGCCGCACGGCGCTCGCCTCAGCCGCGTGGCGCCCGCCTCAGCCGCACGGTGCTTCCAGCCCCTCTGCCATCTCCTGCGACTGCTCTGTGTGACAGCAAGCAGTGCTCAGGGCCAGGCTTCAGCACTGCTCTGTGGGAGATTATGGAAGAACATACATTATCTTGCTCTCGCTTCCAGGTAGTAAGAGAAAATGAACTAGCAGCTCACTGCTAGACTCTATGGCAGCTCGCAGAAAGGTAACTAAAGGCCATAAAGAATCACAGGAGGGGTGAGTTTGGAAGGGACCTCTAGAGATCGTCTAGTCCAACCCCCCTGCTCCAGCAGGGACACCTAGAGCATGGGGCACAGGGTGGTGTCCAGAAGGGTTTGGAAGATCTCCAGAGAAGGAGACTCCACAACCTCTCTGGGCAGCCTGTTCCAGGGCTCTGGCACCCTCACAAGAAAGAAGTTCTTCCTCACATGGAGATGGAACTTCCTGGGCTTCAATTTATACCCATTACCCCTTGTCCTGTCACTGGCCACCACTGAGGAGAGTTTAGCCCCATCGTCTTTACATTCTCCCCTCTTGTTTCTGTAGCTTAAAGCTTTACAATGTATAAACCTGGGCCCAGCAATGCATTAGTATCAAAATCACATGTGCAGGAAACTGCAGTGAAATTCCTCTCACATGACTTTATGTGTCTACCTCTAAAGATGTAATATGGACTCCTGTTATAGTAAGTGAAAAGAAATACACACTTTCAAGATGTTACTCTTCTGAACTAGATCAAGACAAGATGAAATGGGCTCTGACACTTTTTAATCTCAAGGTCAGAAAAGACAAAGCCAGAAAAAAAGCAGACATTACATTAGAAAGGAATAAGCTGTATCTTTACAGCCTGTGCTTTTGCAAAAAAATCTCTCTGTCACCCATCACCATAGTCACTGCTGGTAACGACGGCGACAGAGCAAAGCAAGTAACAGACTCACCACGGAAGAACTCCTTCTCTAGCTGTTCATTCCACTCCTCTGGAGTTTTTTCCATCAATTCACCTTGGTTTGCATCGAAAGAAGGACAACTTGGTTCAGCTGACGTTGGGGAATTATATGTTTCTGCCTGTTAAAAAGTTCATGACAACATGATTTCAATTCTACACAGTAAAAACCACAGAGGTCAGTAAACTCCCATGGGTCCAAAATTCTTTTAAAAATTAAATACCGTATTGTTAAATTCTAAAACTATGGATTTGTAAAATGACATGCGTCTCTCTTACTGCTATATAAGTTCTTAATTGATGTAAAAGGAGACATGCTCATCGCGTACCGATATCATAGCATGCTTTAGATATATTAATTATAATGAGCTTATAATAAGGGATGCAATTACCCCTTTTTCTCCATGTGCATCATTATTGCATAATTTTTCTTAATTTTTCTAATCATTTTTTTTCAGCATCACATTTGGGCCATTTCCTCCAAGGTCTTTGTGGAGCAAAATGTTGAAAATAATTTCGTGGTGGGAGGCACGAGAGCACCTTGGGGGACTGAAATAAATTACCTTATCAGAGGGAGAAAAAAATCTTCTTATTTCCTATCAGTCTAAGTTTAGTTTATGTGCTAAGACATAGAGGTTCATATCCTATCACATCCACATTTCCCCTGGGTCACATTTTCACATGGCAGAAATGCAGAAAACTGCTTAACTCTGATAGATTTATGAAAGCTGAAAACCTTTCCCTTTTTTTTTTCCCTCAAAGGAAAAAATCCTAACTGCTTTAGCTCTTGTTTTTCCTAGTGCTTATTATAATAGTCTAACCGACTCTGGATCCTGATCTTTGTCCCAGCCATATATTAATATAGATAATCCCTTTGTTTTTGCAACATGACAGTAGAAGGCAGCCAATTTACCTTCTCTATACCTTTGATTATATATTATGCATCTTTTAGTCCCTTCTATGGTCATACCACACAATAAAAGAGGACAAAAGGCGTGTTAGTTATACAGTGCAATAAAGTAATTAAAATAATAACATATATCACCCTTGGAGAAAATTTGTTTATTTCAACAGACTACACTTGAATTACATCAGAAATAAATGTGTTGTTTTATGCCTCAATTGAGTTTGTACTTATAATACAGAACACTCAGCCAAAAAACAATTTCCTACTGCCCAAGGCCCATTTGGAGTTTAACCTGGCAAAGGATGTCAAGGATAGCAAGAGGGGCTTCTTTAAATGAGTATCAGCAAGAAAAAGAAGATTGCAGAGAATGTGGGCCCACTGCTGAATGAGTAACAGAAGAGACAGAGAAGACAGATACTGAAGGCTTCAGTCTTTACTGTTAAGATCAGCCCTTAGGAAATCCCAGGCCCTGGAGACCAGGGAGAAAGTCTGAAAAGAGAAGACTTCCCCTTGATGCAGAGGATCAGGTTAGAGATCATTAAGCCAACTGGACACCCACAAGTTCCTGCGCCCTGGCAGCGATGCACCCACAAGGGCTGAGGGAGTTGAGGGACGACGCTGGCCGGCTACTCTCAATCACCTGTGAAAGGACATGGAGAACAGGGGAGATGCCTGAGCACTGAATGAAAGCAAAGGTCACTCAGGTCTTCAAGAAGGGCCAGACAACTCCAGGCCAGTCAGCCCCATGTCCATGCACAGAAAGGTGGTGGTGAAGCTCATTCTGGATGCCATCTCTGTGTAGGTGAAAGGCAAGAAGACGAACAGGAGTAGCCAGAATGAACTCACCAAAGGTAATCATGCTTAACCAGCCTGGTAGCTCTCTATGATGGGATGCCTAAATGAGTAGATGAGGGGAGAGCCGTGGATGTTGTCTACCTTGACTTCAGTAACACTTTTGACACTGTCTCCCATGACACCCTCATAGGCAAGCTCAGGAAGTGCGGGTTAGATGAGCGGACAGTGAGGTGGATTGAGAACTGGCTGCAGGGCAGAGCTCAGAGGATTGTGAGCAATGGGGGCCAAGTCCAGTTGGAGGCCTGTAGTGTCCCCCTGGGGTCAATACTGAGTTCGGTCTTGCTCAATTTTCTCATAAATGACCTGAATGAGGGGACAGCATGCCCCCTCAGCACATTTGCTGGTGATCCAAAATTGAGAGGAGCAGCTGATACCCCAGAGGGCTGTGCTGCCATGTAGAGGGACCTGGACAGGGTGGAGAGAAGGACAGAAGGAACCTCATAAAGTACAACAGAGGAAAGTGCAGGGTCCTGGTCCTCGGAAGGAATAACCCCAGGCACCAGGACAGGCTGGGGGTTGACTTCTGGAGAGCAACTCTGCAGAGAAGGATCTGGAATCTTGGTGGACAACAAGGTGACCATGAGGCAGCAGTGTGTCCTTATGGCCAAGAAGGCCAGTGGTGCCCTGGGGTGCATTAAGAGCATTGCTGGCAGGTTGAGGCAGGTGATCCTGCCCCTCTGCTCAGCCCTGGTGAGGCTGTACCTGGGGTGCTGGGTCCAGTGCGGAGCTCCACAGTATAAAAGAGACATGGAGCACCTGGAGTGAGTCCAGGGCTACAAAGATGATTAAAACATTGGAGTATCTCTCATTGGAGCAAAGGCTGAGAGATCTGGGACTCTTCAGCCTGGAGAAGAGAAGGCTGAGGGGGTCTATCAGTGCATTTAAAATTCCAAAGGGAGGGTGTCAAGGACATGAAGCCAGAGCTTTAAGTGTCCCTGCTTGAGCAGGGGGATTAGACTAGATGATCTCCAGAGGCCCCCTCCAACCTCGACCCTTCTGTGACTCTGTCACAACTGTATCCTGACACGAGAGAGATGTCAGGGCATGGAGAATTCTGAGCATGGAGGAGGCTCTAGATCACTACCTGTCCCAGTCTGCTACTCTTTACAAATAAAAGAAAAAAAAAAAAGGAAATACATTCTCTATTCAAGGTGATTTTTTATCTCTTTGTTAAGAGATAAAAACCTCTTGGTTAAAATTGCCAAAAATATGTGATGATTTTGGCCTATAAAAACTATCCATTCAATAATTTCATCATTAAGAGAGAAACAAAATCTGATCAGAGCTACACTTAGATGTGTATAGTTAATAGGGCAAGTTCTTCCTGTTGAATCCAACATATTCATAACACAGATATTTTACCTAGCTTTTAAACTGAAAACTACAATAATACTATTTAAACAGACGTCGCATCAACATCCTGAAAAAGGAGCCCAGTTTTCAAAAATTCTGCAAGTGAAACACACATAACAACAAAGTTGTCAAACTACTTACTGCTGCCATTTCTTCCACATTTGGAGATGTGCTAGCAGAACAGTCATATCTGTAGGCAGAAGGATTTAAATAATAAAATTATGACAAAATTTTACCAGGTAGTAAAAATCTCCTATAACAACTCCCAAGAAGCATCTGAAAAGACTGTTTTACGAAGAAGCCACTCCTCTCCTAACCGATGCCAGGGGAATTTCCCATTCACTTTGCTGGCCTTGCATATAATGTTTAGGATTGCCCAGCCAGGACTGAACTCACCCTAATGACAGATACCCCAGTGCCTGCAATACCCATAAAGTCATTGCTTAAATCCAGCATTACAATAAGACATTGTTGCTTTCTTTATTTTTCCAACAACAGTAACTTGCAAAGTACTGTGAATAATGTAAGCTCACGATTTATAAATCTTTAAGCTCATGACTTACAAATATGTAATGGCCAGCATTGAAATAATATTGCTCTTCCCCTCCTTCATTACCCTGCTGCACTTGTGCAGTTGTGCTCTGCCCCTGTGGAGGGGGACGGACAGCTGGCAGATTTATTTTGATATGAACTTTGCCACCCAGCCATCCCGAACAGCCCTTAGCAACTTTTAGCGCTTAAGAGAAGGCTTATACTTTTCTTAAGCTATGCAGGACTGCAATAGTTTGACAGAAAATTGGCTGGAGAGTGCTTCTGAGCAATGTATTTTTTTAGAATGAGCTGAGAAACACAGAATGTAAGAGGTATTCCATTTTACACGGTGACTTTCATACATATAAATAATAAACTAAAGAAAAAGAAAGCAGTTGATTTCACCAAGTCTATTATAGTCTGCAACTCTTGGTTTAGAAATAAATGAAGCCAGTGCCTTGAAAACCCCCGCAGGAAATCTCACTTGGCTTGTGCCTGCTGCCAGTTCTTCCCTGTCGCAGACACCTTTTTTCCCAG